ACCCAATTAGGAAACTTGATAAAATAAAATATGTATGTACTAACCATATAAAGATAATAACAAAGAAAGCGAAAGAAAAATAAAGAAAAATATAGACATAACATTATCCCTCCCTTGGAAGGATGAGTTCTGGTGAATCCTGTATCACTATATCCATTTCTTCTCTTTTCCGAGCTTGGGCCTCCACTAACAACTGGTCTGTGAAATCTTCGTCATACATCTTTTCAAGAGCGGAAATTGTAATATTTTCAACCTTAGGTATATATATTCATGTATCCAATAGGGTCCAAACCACTAAGCTTCCAATTTTTCCCCTTTTTTGGAAGCATTTTAAGCATTATAATGCCAGACTTTGTCCCCAATAATAAAGCTTCATAAAGGATTCTGTCAAGCATGATTCTTTATTTGTTTCATTTGGGATCAATTTATATTTTTTTGAGCCATGCTCAGGACTTCCTTCAGATTATCTATTAAAGCCACAATCCTACGAGCTATAATCGATTGTTCTATTTCCTTATCAATAGATTCGGTCAGGTAAGTTTCCATGTCTAGTTCCACTGGTAATCGTGCTTCCTATTCATATGTTAAAAAGAATAGTTTATATTTAGTTGTACCATGTCATATTGTTCGATAAGCAAATAAAGACAACTGAACAAATTCATCCCAATTGTCCTGATATTGATTCATGCATTTTGCAATTATTTCACATAGTGTACGGTTAAATCTTTCAACCTGGCCATTTTTTTGAGGATAATAACCCGACGACATTCTATGTTTAATACCTAACTTTTGACAAAGCTCAGTAATCACTGTATTTTTGAAATGAGTGCCCTGGTCTGTTACTATTTTGAGTGGACACCCATGTCTCCTGATAACTTCATTCACAAGAAATGTTGCTACTGACTCAGCTCTGCAATCTGGTAAAGCACAAGCTTCAGGCTATTAGGTAAAAAATTCGGTAGTGACTATTAAATATCTATTTCTCTTTTTCATTTTAGGTACAGGTCCAACAAAGTTAATTCCAATGCGATCAAATGGTTGAACGGGTTTTAATGGATGCAGAGGTTCATGCGTAATGGGTTTACCTCTTTGTTGACATACTACACATCTCTTTACAAAATTCTTTATATTGGTTATCATTTGTAGCCAATGATACTATTTCGAAACTTTATGTATTGTAGCATTTTCTCCTAAATGTTCACCTATTGCATTTCTGTGTATAGCATCTAAAATAACCTTTACTTCACTTTTTTTTACCACCCTTAGTAGATACCGGAACTCTTCTTTAACCTTTCAATATAAAATCCCTTCACAAACTATATAAAATCAGGCTTGCACTTTGAGCTTCTGGGTTTGCCCTTTATCATATTCAGGTGGCAGAATTAAATCAATAAAATATTTTACTAATATCTGATAGTTTTCTTCTTCTATTATTTTCTTAAGTTAATTTTCAACCTATTTTTTGATAATGCCAAGATACCAGAACCTGGACTAGATTTTGTTTGTCAGATTTAAAATTAAGTATAATTTTTTTTTCTCTCTTCTTCTTTTTTTTTTTTTATATATTTATTTATTTTTATTTATTTTTTAATGTTCAATACTTGATTTGAGATAAACTATCCACGTGAGAGAGTTGTTTTCCAGCATGGTGTTTAATTACAAAGTCATACTCTTGAAGCATCATTATTAATCTTGCTATTTGTCCTGTTGGATTGGCCATATTATTTAGATATACTAATGCTGAATGATCTATGATAATAGTAAACTTGGGCCCATGTAGATAAATATGAAATTTCTTAACAGCCCATCCTATAGCTGTACATTCCAATTCAGTTATAGTATAATTTTTTCAGCTGGGCTGGTGGACCTACTAGTATATTGATAACCCATTCTCTTTTCTCATCATCTATTTGAGCCAAAATAGCCTCTACTGTAATATGTAAAGCGTCTATATAAAAAATATATTCTCTCTTATCATCTAATAAAGGTGCTGTGACTAAATTTCTTTTTAATGTTTCAAAAGCGAGTTGTTGTTCTGAATTCCATTTAAATGGTTCTTTAATCTTTAACAACTTATATAGGGGTGCAGCTGTTTTTGCAAAATTCTTCATAAATCTTCTATAAAATCCTGCCAATTCTAGAAACCTTCGCAGCGTTCTAATATTTTTGGGTTGTGGGAAGTTTTCTACAGCCTCAACTTTAGCTTTGCCAGGGATTATTCCTTCTTTACTAATCTCATGCTCTAAAAATGTTATCTTTCGCTGTATAAAATAACATTTATCTTTATTCAATTTTAGATTTGCGGTTCGAATTAATTGCAAAACCTTCCTCACGTGTTCCACGTGTTCAACAAACGTAGGCGAAAATATTGTGACATCATTGATATATACGAGAATGAATTTCCACAATACTTCATATAAAACTTGATCCATAAGCCTATAGAAAGTCGCTAGTGTATTCTTAAGTCTGAAAGGCATCACGTTGAATTCATACAATCCAAAGTAGAAAGTAAAGGCCGTCTTTTCATGATCACATTGATGCATTTCTATCTGCCAAAATCTACTTGCCAGATCAAGGGTTGTATACCATGCTGATTGTTTTAGAGCTCCTAGTAATTCATTAATCCTAGGAAGTGGGTAACTATCTCATTTTGTTACCTTATTTAATTTTCTAAAGTCTATACAAAACCGCATTAATCTATTCTTTTTCTTTACTAACACTATCAGCGAAGCCCACGGGCTATTTGATGGCCATATAATTCTAGCCTTCTTTATATGTTAAATTTCAGATCCTATAAATTTATGCTCGGGTCTGAAAGTAGAGTAAAATTTTTGCTTAATTGGAGGCCCATCTTCTGTAAATATTTCGTGTTTTTCCTAATTTACCCAATTCATCTATAAAGGTATCTTTATATTCCATTAATAATGACCGTATCCGTTTCACTTGTTTATCCTCTAATGGATCCAAATTTAAATCTTTTACTTCTTTTGTTTCTACTAAATACAGAGTCATCGCTTCAGGGTCTTTCCGAAAAATACATTCTTTAACATTATGCCCTTTTTAGAACAGATTTCACAAATCTCCAATTCAACAGGGATTTTTACAAATTCCAAATAAAAGTAGGTTTTACTTATTAAATTTTCCTCTTCATATTCTTCTTTATATTCACTGCTTCCTGACTCTGATTCCTCGTCTGTTGCATAACCACCCTTCTTGATTTCTTCTTCAACTTATTTAGATTTACCTTTCCTTTGAATTTGTTCTGAAATATTTGCAGGCTTGCAATATTCCATGGCTATTCTTATTTTTTTATCTCTATCACGAATCATTAGTTCACACTCCTCCCAATCTAACCTTGCCCTTGCCTTCTTTAACCAATTGTTCCCAACTATCACAGCGTAATTTCTAGCTTTTGTAATGTCTGCTTGAGACGTGATGGTTTTGTCTCCTACCGTTATCGGAAAATCGTCAACCTCTCCCAAAGGTTGCTTTTGTTCTCCATGCACTCCAATCATTATAACCGCTAAAGGATGATCAATTGAAATCTCGACTTCTTTTAAAAAATTTGCCGAAATCACACAACCTGATGATCTGCTATCCACAATTAAAAGAATTAGATGGTCCTTAACTTGTGCTTCACAATACATCAAGGTGGTTTTCATGTTTTCTTCTTCCTTGAGGCAAAATTCTGCCATCTTAGAGGTAATTATTCTACCAGCTTTAATTATTTTTGTCATTCTTTCTTAACATTGGGAGCTATCTGAAACAGTTGAGCATAGGTAATATCTGCCTTTTTATTTTGTAGATCGGTCATTATAGAATAAGGTTGAATATTCGATATTATTAGAGGTTCAACAAGTGTTGTCTTCCTCTTCTTTGGGACTTTCCTTATTCAATCCACATGATCCTTTTCTTTATTTTCTTTCAGGTTGGTTATCTTTTCAGCTTCACCATTGTTTTTCGCCTTCTTTTTGCCATGTATACCTCGAATATCAAATCATTTGAGGGGTTTTTATTAATAAATGCACTTTCACCCTCTTGAGGTGCATTCTTTAGTTTAAATGTTCTTCGTTATTCAATACTTGTGCTAGCATTGCTTAAGTCTGGCTGACATCTATTGTAGGTCAATTATCATTTATATCCCCATTTCTCCCTTCTGGTCTTTGTTGTTTGGCTTCATTTGTTTGGTGTACACAATTATCGTTAGCATGATTCAAAGTTGGGCATTCATAAGCAATATGTCCAGGCTGTTGACAGTTAAAACATGTGATTTGTGGACAATTCCCTTGAAAATTATTCCTATTTGCTTTGTAAGTATCTCTAGATCTATTATTATTGTTATTTTTCATGGAAACTACTAACTCTTCCATCAATACAGTTAATTTTTTTACAGAGTCTTCAATGGGATTTGGAGCAGCCATCTTATTTATTTCATTCATTGGCTGTTGAAGATAACTAACCATGAGATTTATAAAAGGTAATGGATTAGGCATCATTTTATTTCTTGAAAGTGATAATTCACTAATTCTAGCTCTCTCAATTGCAGCCTGCAGAGTGCCAGACATAAATAGTCCTACAGCAAGGGCCAGATATGGACGTAAGTCCTGTACAAAAATTTATGTCTTCATGGAGTTTGGATATTGATTACCACCAACTGTAATACATCTGAACAGGGTGGCCATGTCTGCAGTATATTGGTTGATGGTTTCCTCTACTCTTTAATGTCTGGTAAGTAACTCAGTACTCTACTGACTCATAAGCAATTGTGTACAAAAGTTTCATCGAAATTGATGGACAAAACTAATGTCTGGATGAAAATTGTCCTCCAATCAGTCAATGTGAGGTCTGGTATTGTGTCTAGTTTCCTACCACATAGCTGCTATTCCTGTAAGATATGCACCAATAACCACTATTCAATAATTCCCTTGGATTGTTAGCTTCAAAAACGCAGCCTACCATTTCCAGCCACTCCACAGGGTCTTGATTACCTCCAGCAAAGATAGGGATGTTTACAGTATTAATTTCTCGGATTTGGTCATTTTGCTGTACTTGTGGTAAAACTCCAGCCATTAACAGTAATAATTGTTGAATCTGCTGCTGAAAACTGTTTTCCTGATTTTCTGAGCCATTATTATTGTCATTATTATCACCATCCAAATAGCGATCCATGTTAGATAAGTTCCTTCGATAACAATTACTTCTTTACTTGACATATATATGGAGGAAGTCAGTAGAAATGGGACAAATTTTTTCTAAGTAAAAGTTTTCTTAACTTTAAATTTAAATATCTTGTCAACTA